CCCCCCCCCCGCCCCAGTTTCTCTCGATTTAATTGGTTTTATATCTCCATTACCTTGTTATCTTGGTATAAATGCCTCCTAATCAAATATTTGGCAAGTCCTTTTTGGTCTCTGTAGCACTGTTTCCATTCTGCATTGTTTCTGTGCAAAAACCTGTCAACTAGGTATTTCTCCTGCGGCGACCTTCCCAAAACCTGTGACCTGAGTGAATGTAACATTTCAGAGGAGAAAAGTGTTTGCAGGGTGAAGGAGCATCATCTGGGGGTTGGGGAGAAGCCCTCCAAGCCTTCCCTTTGGTTTGCTATTAGATGTGTAGAGAAAGGCTGTAAGCATCTGATTTCCAGGAGAGAAAGAACTGTTGGCAAACTTTAGTTCTGCCCTTGCCTTTAAACTTAAAGATACAGAGTGATTGATCCCTTTGACTGGTACTATCTGTCATTTGATGAGAGGAAACCTATTTCACAAGCTTGTTAAACCGTATTCCCATTGTGTGTGCAGCCTCGGTAGAAAATGCCTTTTTATTTCCAGAGACGTGCCATGAAACCCACTCCTTCCGCATTTTTGATGTGCAGTTCTTTATTGTTCACAACTGACACTTTGTAAACAACTCATTTCTGCACCTGCCACCTTCCTTTAGCTTAGATTATTTTCTTGTTAGCTGACTGGTTTTAATTGAAGTCTTCAGATCTCCTTCTAAAGCAGAACCTTTGCTGACAAGTAGAGCAGGGTATGAATGGAGATTAATTGCAATTAGAGTCTGAATCGGAAGTAGAGAAAACACTGCAAAGGTGGGATTCAACCAATAATTCTATTGAAAAAAATGTTTAAAGAGTATGTTTTAGGAAGGCTCATGGACTCATAGCAGCATATTGGTTATAGGTTTTGTTTTTTATGAAATACTGTCTCTGGTATAGACCCAACAGAATTACTCATTGTACTACACATAATTTGTGTGTATTAGAAACTCTAATGGCTATCAATTTAGCATATGTTGCTGTTTACTTGCTCTCCCACACCCACACATTTAAAAAATATATATCTTTATTGATTTCAGAGAGGAAGGGAGAGGGACAGAGAGTTAGAAACATTGATGAGAGAGAAACATCGATCAGCTGCCTCCTGCACACCCCCTACTGGGGATGTGCCCACAACCAAGGTACATGCCCTTGACCACAATCCAACCTGGGGCCTTTCAGTCCACAGGCTGATGCTCTATCCACTGAGCCAAACTGGTTAGGGCTACCCACACATATTTTAAGGTTGACAATTGACATTTAGATCCTGATCTCTATATCGGTCACTCAGTGGAGGGAGTCACAAGGTGAGAGGGCTGTCAGGTTAGTGCTGCCACATGGCTGTGGGGGTGGAGTTTCCACAATGAATTACTACCTTCATAAACCAAGGCGTAAGCATTTGCACAGTGATTTAATGCTGGTCATCACAGCCATAACATAAGCATTTATTTATTTATAACTACATGGGCATAAATGATAGGGGTGTTTTTGACATAATGTGTATGCCTTTAAAAAATAAAATATGCAAAGCATTGTGAAAGGTTAATGCCAAAATTATACACAATGAAGAAGGGAGCAGAAACTCAAAGTCTAAAATTAATTTTTCTTTAAGGTTAAAATTTTGAACATTTGAAAATATTTCATTCAACCCAGACACTCCACTTTTAGGGATCTGTGTTACTGAAATTAAAGGACATGAAGTGTATATAAGAATACATCCTAGCCCAGCCGGTGTGGCTCAGGGGTTGAGCATTGGCCCATGAACCCGGAGATCTCAATTCAATTCCAGGTCAGGGCATATGCCCAGATTGGAGGCTCGATCCTCAGTGTGGGGCGTGCTGGAAGCAGCTGATCGATGGATTCTCTCTCATCATTGATGTTTCTATCCTTCTCTCCTTCTACTTCCTCTCTCTGAAATCAATAAAAACATTTTTTTTAAAAAAGAGAATGCATCCTAAATGTCCATGAGTTGGGGAATGTGGGGAGATTATATGAATGAATGACTCATCTTATAGAATATTTTGTAGCCATTAAAAAGGATGTGAGATATATATATATATATA